CCCCACATATCTACCTCACTATGTGGGAATATTTGCATAATGCCGCCCAAATGTTCACGCAAAGAAAGAAGGTGTGGTTTCAGTAACCGCAGTTAGTGTTGAAGCAGCCATGTCAGGGAGACGCTGTGTGTTTCTAGGCGAAAGCAAAAGCACTTTATTTGGCCTTCCGAAAGTAGATGCATTTAGGAATCTTTAAGATTACTTACAACAGAACAGCAATGCATTTTATGGACGACCGTTCGTGAACCTAGGAGAGGAGGTCATTCTGACTTTGCTATGACAATCTGGTGCTTCTGAATCAGCTGCTGTTTTGTTATTAGTTTAAGTATTTGCTATTGACTGTTCAAATGCGGAGTTTTGCGCATCATGTGTGTGTGTGTGCGCGCGCGCGAGCGAGCGAGAGAGAGAGAGAGAGCAAGCGAGAGCGAGACGGGGTCACATCACAGTGGAGTCAGCTGTCTTAACCGTGGTTTGTGTACTGCAAACACATACCAGCTTCATCACTGTGTCTGTCACGCGACTCTGTTCCCCTTTCGGGCTCTGTCTTTACATTTATTTTGAAAGATGAAGCTCGCGATTATGGTAAGGGCGTTACATTTCCAACGAGTGCTTGCGGTGTTCGGCCAATCACAATGCACTGGGTCAGCTGGCCAATCAGAGCAGACTGCGCTTGTTGGAAGGAGGGACTTTGTAGAAAACGAAGCGTTTGAGAGAGGCGGGGCATAGAGGACCTACAATAATGTACACTATTTGAAAAATAATGTGTTTTTTGAACATTAAAGTATGTCAACATATTCGGTTACACCAAATAATGATCTTTTAAAAAGCATCATATGACCCCTTTAACTTGGCCAAAACATTTAATTAACGTAAACATTGTGAATGGCATAATTCTGTAAAAGATGGATTCATACTTGGGAAAATCTGAATTATGTAAAAAAGATTTATAAAAGATCAAATGTGTTAAATGCAGCTGAAAGGCAGCTTAAAGCATGAACGAACTGGTCAAAAATTTAACAAACATAAATGCAACACTGAGAATGACTGAATTCCACAAAATAGATTTAAATATGGCCAAATTTGCGGAATTACATAAATTAGATTCACACATGGTCACATATATCTCAAAGGCAAATAGGCTAAATGTATTATTAAATTAGCCAAAACATTTAATAAACATTCACGCAACACTGTGAATGATGGGTATTTAAATTCTATGAACGTTTTATTTCACGTGGACCTGCACATAACACACGCAGAAAAACGGTTGTGTAATACATTTATAAGAACTGCAGTTTGTTGCCATTTACCATAGTAACATCATGCAAGTGGTCACAAAGTCCATTGTTCTTACACACCGCCTGCCAAACCTGCCCACTTCCCATTTAAAAGTGAAAACGATAAACAAACTGCCTCCAGCTACCACCTAATGAGACCTGAACTTCACTGCAAATACGCCATCATCAGGCCTCACACATGCACTAAGACACTGCTGTTGTTGTAGTCTAATGAGGTACATGTCTGTGAGTGTTGTAATATGTTCATTAAGCACACCAACTCTCTACGGCATTGTAATTCTGCTGCGCACGGCAGTATGGACACAACCCACACTAATTACATTGTGCATTGAATTAAGACTGCGCCGGGAGGGGGGCCAGAGACACAGAGGAGACAAAGAAATGGGAATGTGAGTCTGAGTGGCACGAAAAGCAGTTTGTGAGATAGTTAAGACAAGAAAGTGAACTGTTCTGGCTGGGAAGAACAGAAAATGCACTTAAGCGATCTAGAAAGAAGAGTGAATGAGGGGGGAAAAGTACGAGAGGGAGAAACGATGGGGGAGGGCGAGTGGCAGGGGACCTCAGGGAAGCCACTCTGAAAGGTTCCCGGGACAATAGTCCTCCGTTCACACGGCAACAGAGGAGCTCTCCCATGCATGTTCTGTTCCCTCCCCCAACCCGTTACCCCCGCCAACCCCACCCCTCTCTCTTCTTCAAATAAAAGAAGCACTCCTGGCTCTCTCTCCTTTTCAGTGGCCTTCTTTTTCCATAAGTCTGTGCCTACTGCAAAAACCACACACATGAAGAACATTTCAGTCAGACAAAATACAACCTACCATCTTCAAAAAAAGCCAAAGAGAGTGTATAACCAGAAGCAGACACTTTGAGATGCTGGAATAACAGGTAAACATACAAAATAATTAGGGTGCATCACAGCTGTTTACAGCCCCATCAGTGCTGCTGTCAGGCTTAGAAGTCCATCAGACCCATCCCGTGACCACAGGAGGCCACATCCTGTCCAAACTAACGAGGGAGACACGCATTCACTCCCTAAACGCTCTTTGAATCGCAGAAAAGACAGGATGGCAACGCATTAGCTATTCTGAAGTACAGCGCATCTCTGCGCGTAAGACTACATTAATATTTCAATACGGATCACGCCACACATGATGAAGGCTTGTTAATATCACGAGCCAGTTGCTCTGAGATTTCTGCAAACCCGTGCGTAAGCGTGGATTTATCTGAAAAACAATAGATGCATATATTATTTGAACACTTTCGGGATGAATTCATTAAGTTTTCGGGCTTGCTATTCACTAAACAGTTAAAAATGTAAAGTTGCGGAATTCTGTTATGTATCATATTCTTTGATAACGGTTTACGAAAAGAGCACTTTCAGTCTTAACTGATTGAAAATATAGCAACTTTTTTGATTTACTCTTCTTAGGAGGACATATTGTATTATAAGGCACGCAGCGCTTGTTATTGTAACAATAGTAACATTATTATTAATATAACAGAATTAAAAAATATATAAAACGTCAACAATTATCAAATCGACATAATCTCGCCATTAATTACAAATAAATAAACAAGAATCAAAATCAACTCCCCACTAGAAACCCAAACCTCATGTTCCATTTATTATATAAAGCGTGATAAACAGTAAATATAACAAGTGTAATATGACAAAATAACTACATTAGCGAAAATAAGTAAATGTATGATGCTTACCAAAAGTGAATTTTGTTGAAAATAATATTCGCTCACATGTCCAGGTTTTCAGAGGTCCGGATTGCCATCCTGTGTCTCCATCGGTCCATCTGACCATTCCAAACAATCCGCTTGGGGCGGGGCATATTGGGTTGTTCGCACCAATCAGTATTTTAGAATAGGAATTTAACGCGCTACCATTTGTCACAATCAGCCAATCAGATGAGAGGCTGAGGATGATTGACAGAGAGTTCCCGGTTATTAAACGATAGGGCGGCTGTGTGAGGGCGGGCTTTATTGGGGTATTTTAGCTGGGCTTTAAACACACAACAGCTAAAATACTTAATGAAACTTAGGCTATTTCTTATAAAAGCAAAGATAGAATTGAAGACACACCTAAACAGTATAGGGTATAAAATAGGGCGTGGAACAGCAAATGGTCCACTGTCCATAGGTAGTAGGGGAGTGTTGTTTGAAATGTTGATCGTTACCAAAACTGGGACAATATGTCTTTAGTTCGTATTTAAAAACCCTGATTCGTGTGGCTTTGAGCAATAAACATGAAATAAACATCAAAATAAATTAAAGAGTCAACATTTATTAAATAATAATTTAAAAAAAATTCACGGAAATGAAAATTGTCTAATTTAAGATGTCATTCAGCAGGAGTTACAAATAAATGACTTTTTAAATGTAAAATCAGTTAAAAAAATAATTCATTAACTAAATATCAATTCAATAAATTTAAATAAACTAAAATTGGATCTAGTCAAGAAGGTCAAGACCTCTGAGGTGGGACAGGCCAAAATAACCATTTTAAGGGAGGCTAGTTTTACTATAGATAATAAAAAAAATAAATTAAACATGGGACTTATAAGCCCTATGAAAAAAATCAGTTTTCTTCATGAAGTATAAATATGCATTTAAAAAGGAAAAAAGAGAAAAGATAATGCAGCCATAATTCCTAATGAAAATAGACTCAACTAAAATGCTACAAATTCTGTGTATTATTGCCCCAGGAAATGCAAGCACTCACACAAACACAGAAATAAAAGCTTTTACTTTTTTTTTTTTTTTTTAACGCTTCCACTTTAATTGTCAGGATATTTGTTTCATGTAAAATATTTCATTACAATACAGTACAATGAATGTTCAATCTGCTGTCCACACAACTTTTGTCATGAAGTTCTAAGGCCAAACTTTCACGCATAACAGCCTTTCTGACAGCAAAATGGAAGTTGCTGACCTCTCCTAACTTAAAAACCAAAACATTAAATTATTAACAACTAAAATCAAGTTTGTTGTTTCTTTTATGCCGCCTTCTATCAGTATGATGCAGCAGGGGGCACTAGAGGTTCTCATTATGCTTCAGTCAGCAGCTCCAGCACAGAGAATTCGGTCCCCAGCAATGGGCTAAAAGAGTGAGTGCATGTGCATGTGTATGTATGTATAAGGGCAGACGGAGAGACAGACAGACTGATAAACGTCATTCTGTCTTTGCTGGCAGTCACATAGCAGCTTTGAGTTTTGGAGAGGCCAACGGATTTCAAAGTGAGGGCAAGGAGGACTGGGGCTAAAGAGGTTGGATGGTATGGTGGATCTCCACCTCACTCCAAACCAGTCTCACTACATAGTGCAGCTGTTCAGTACCACATATATTGAGAATGTTGCTTTTTTTGTGTTTTTCTTTTTTGTGAAGTATCACAGACTTGCAGCGAGGACTTTAACTATCACCAATGGAACAAATATCCGCTTTTCATTGGCTTTTTTCATTTGTTTTCACTTAGAGTCTATTATTGATTTCATTTTTTTCTTTCTCCTTTTGTCAGCGAAGGATAATGTTGGCTGTATGATACGGTGATGTGTTGTTAGGTTACAGTTATTGTTCCTGCGGTGGAAATGCTGCACAGCAAAGCACTCAGTGGGTGAGGCGGTTTGGCTCAGGTCCACACCCGCCTCCCTAAGTACATTCTCCCTATTGGGCACTGTGAGAGGGGGGCGTGGCCTGACTCAGTAGCGGTGGGTCTGGTGTGAGTACTGTGGAGGCTGCTGGGAGGTAGAGGAGTATCCCATGCTGCTTTGGGGCAATGATGTGCTTGGTCCTGGGTTCTGGTAGGCAGCATGTGGATTGGAGCGCTGGAACACAGAAGAACAGCGTTCTGCATGCTTTAGAAGCAACACGTGATTCGAACTCTACAGAAAACAACAACAACTCATGGGGTCTGACTGACTGTTTTTAAGACCTTTAAGTAGCACTGCTCATGCATGCAGCAGCAAGCATTCAAGACACAAATGAATGCATGTAAATGGAAACTTTCAGGATCTAGATGAAAGAAAGCATGGAGGAAAATGGACTGAGAGGCTATCGCAACTAATAAGGACCAAAATGAGACCATAGTCCACATTGAAGACCAGAGAAAACGTGAATACAAACAACTGACTAAATGTACTAAATGAATAAATGGAAATATTTGCTTAAATTTGCTCAATTTCACAGATATAGTGCGGTTTAATCTTTTTCCTACACACACACTATACATACATACATACATACATATATAATTGACATCAAAACACTCTGATGCACATATCTCTCTTCTTTTTGTCACAAGATAAAGGAAACAGAGCTGATGTCATACCTATCTTCACACGTCCTCTTTCAGGACCTTCTCCCATTACCAATATGTTGGCAGGTTTCTGTGGTGAAAGAGTCAAAGTTCAGAGCTGTAATACTTCCTCTCACATTTCAGTGTGATAACTGATGCTGTAACTTCTTTGCAACTTTTTAGGATTTCGAAAACTTACCATGCATGAATATAATCCTTTATAGCCACGAAACAGTATTTTATATATATATATTAGTGCTGTCAAATGATTAATCGCGATTAATCGCATCTATATATTATTTTTTTCAGAACAGGATGTTTTTTTTTTAAAGTAAATACTGATACTAAATGAGGCTTGGTTCAATTAGCATTAACATTTTTCAAGAATTTCTTTATATTTATTTAGAATTAATTCATGCATCATTTGGCAACAGTGTTATTTTAGTATTAAGTAGAGGTATTTTTTTCTGAATTAACCATTATTTTTACATTTTTTCTTAAGTTTTAGTAATTTTGTTATTTGCTTTTAATTTTTATTAAATTTTTTAAAACATTTCTATTTAGCTTGTTCTCATTTCTAATTTTTACATTTTTCCATCTAATATTTTTTATTTTATTATTTTATAATTTTTTTTATTCAAATACCAAAATCTAATTTTAATAGTTTCACTTTTAGTTAACCATAACAACAAAGTTTGGCAAATAAGTTACATTTATTTTTTTCACAAATATCTCTTCCTCAAAAAGAACAATAAAATCATTAAGACCAGCATTGTTAAATTATGTCCTTACATCTGTTGTGAAAAAAATATATAAAAATATTATTTTATAAATGCTGCCACCTACTGGAAATTGTCATGGGATTTCTAATAATCAGCCCAGTCAAATGAGCTACATCTGGATGGACATTAACTGTTCGATATAACACACATTGAACCTCACCAGGTCTCTGTGCAGGACCCAGTTGGCGTGCAAATAGTGAATGCCGTCCAGGATCTGGTAGAGCAAAGACTTTACCATCCCACGTGGCAGCTGAAGAGGCTTCTTATTGGCCTTGGAGGCTCTGTGGAACTTGATGATGTGCTACAAAGACACGTAGACCCTCAGCAAGATATGTACTGTATACAAACATTTCTCTGCGTGTGTGCATGAGCGTTTGACTGTATGTTACCCAGAGGTCATGTTCAGCGTAGTCAAAGAGAAGCCACACTTTGCGGTCTGCATGTGACAGGAAAACCTTCTGCAGCGAGATCACATTGGGGTGCTTCAGTTCACGCAGCAGCTGCAAGGAGCAAACAAGAACAAACACACACACAGACACACACACACAAGTGCACATGCTGAGAAAGACATCTACAGAGCACCCAAAGTACACAAAATCACTTCAGCCTGAAGTATGCTTATTAAAAGGATAGTTAGGCCAAAAATAAAAAAATTCTATCATTGTTTATTCACCCTCCCCTCACGTTGCTCCAAAACTTTATGACTAAGGAAGACAAAAGCAGAAATTTTGAATAATGTGCTGGTTGCTCTTTTTCATGCAATTACAATGAATGGGGACTGGAGTTTTGTAGCTTCAAAAAGGACACAAAGCATCATAAAAGTGGTCCATATGACTAATGCACTAGATTTCAATTCTTCTGAAACCAAATGAGACATTTGTGTGATGAATAAACCAAAATATAAATAGCTATTTACTAATAATCTTCACATTCAGTGAACTGTTAATCGCTGAACTGGACAACCAGATCAGTTGAAAACAAATTTATAGCTGCGTCTGAAATCACATACTCTTCTGACTACTTCTTTTAAATAAGTTGTTCCATTTCCTATAAGTGAGAAAGAACGAAAATTTTGGCTAGCAGCTTTGACTGCGGCAAAGAAATGACCAGTTCAACGCTGGAAACCCCCTCATGACCTTTCTGCTAAGCACTGGATTCATTCCTTATTGGAAATACTATATCTGGAACTGTCTTCTGCACGGACTAATTACGCAAAGCCTGCTACTTTATCTATTTGGAAGAACTGGATTTCCAAAGATTTTAAGATTTTGGTCATTTTATCTAAAGATGTCATTCTTTTGTTAATATTATTACCAATTTTGTTTGTATATATATATATATATATATATATTTGATTTTATATTGTTTTACTTTTGTGTTTATGTGGGTCCTGGGGTGGGTGTGGGATGGGGGGAGGTTCTGGGAGGGCAATGGTTTATTTAATAGGTTTTCTCTCCTTTGTTGTAATGTTTTTTTGTGTGTTCTATCAAAATAAAAAACAGTGAATTACAAAAAATAAATAAGTTGTTCCATATAGTGTATGATTATAATCCGAACCTACTACATTCATCATGTTGTCATAGTCATGTGATCTACCCGTGTCAGTTGACTTACTTCACTGCCTTTCATAAATCCTCTCCCGTGGCCTCATGGGATAGCAAAGTGTCCATACTTCAAAATCTCACTGGAAATAGTATGCCAGCTGGGAAGTTTTTGGCTATTTTTTATGAATATTTTGAATTTGGACATACTACTCTGTTCACCTAATATATTGTAGGGAAGTATGCGATTTCGGGTGCAGCCATTCAGCTGTTTTGTGAACTGAATCCCCTGAATCATTAACCCAAAACAATGTTTGTTTATGAAACTGACAAAATTATTTCCAGCATATCAAGGAAAGGTTCGGTCTGTTTCTCACACAAAGATTTCAGCATATGAGCAAAGTACTTATGACATTTTAATTGTGCTTTTTTTTTATCATTTCGGAGCTTGACAGTCCTAGTTTTCATTCACTTTCATTATATTGAAGTCATACGGATTTGAAACAACAAATGTCATTATAAAAATAATGACAACTTTCAATTTTTAAGTGAACTATTCCTTTACTGCACATTACATGAGAATATAAGTATTCAAATTTTCTTAAATTCATAGAGCTAATAATAGTTAACAGATTGTAACTCTCTAAAGTATCCACATGCTATAAATGTATTTCCGGGAACTTGTTGAACCAAGGTGGCATGTGCCAGAGCTAATTGAAGATCCTCTTGACAGGAACACGTTTAAAGCTTGATGTACTTACTGCTATCTCTCTGCAGGCAGACATAGAGATCCCTGTGCCTTCAATCTGCTTCAGAGCATAATCTTTATCATCCTTCCTGCAAATAGACATATCAGCATCCGCAATTACTCTTCAGTACACTACATTTCCCTAAATCTATACCTACAGATCATATTAAACCCCTTATGGAGGAAAATAATCCACTGGGAAAGACCCAGCAGAATTTTAAGCAGATGATTTTGACTCTTTTATTACCAGCACACCTTCAAAAACTCATAAGTCTCCTGACAACTAACATGAAGCAAGAGGGTAATGTTGAAATGAAGTCCTAGAAAAAAATAAAAATAAAATAATAATAATAATCTGCCTATAAGATCTCACAATGCCCTGTACAGTTTCTGGAGAACAAATTAGCTGTAAACCGCTCATAAACAATCACAAAAACAAAAACATCTTTAAATGCTCAGGACCTTCAAGTGAGACTTTGGCCGCCAGGCAGTCTGGACTTTAATAGCCCAGCTTTGGGTCTGTCTGATGGGTCTCACTTAATGCCAGGCACTGTAAGGAACCAATTTACAGTAACTCATCAGCAGATCCATTCTTACTCCGCCAAGATAGTCTGCAACTGGCGTGAAATAAAGATAGCTGCATAAGAACCAAATAACCATTAGAAGTTAAACATCAAATTAGTGTTGAGCAAAATAAAAACAAATCCCATGTGATAGCACTAAATACAATAAAATCTTATGCAAATTGGGAGGATTGCTATTTTAGCTGCCTCAATATGACAACTGATGTCCTGCAGACATTTAGGGTTATTTTCGGTCCAGTTTTCCTACCAAAAAAACACTAATACAAGTAAAATGTAGAATGGGATTTTTAGGTATTTTTTCAATTCCCCCATGTCACAGCTCTAATTTCTAATCAATAAATGTGAAACTATCAGTCATGGTCGTTTCATTTCTTTCCAAAAGTAATTAAATAAGGGTTTTAATTGACACTGCAGCTGGTACTAGAAATTTAAGGCCCCATTAAATCCGTTTTATTCTTTTAATGGTATAATAAAAGTTTAATAATCAAAAAGAATGTTTAATGAATTGAATTCAGACATTCTGTTTTGTCGGTTTTAATTTTTCTGGATTTATGATAACACGCCCCCACATATCTACCTCCCTATGTGGAAATATTTGCATAATGCTGCCCAAATGTGCATGCAAAGAAAGAAGGCGTGGTTTCAGGAACAGCAGTAGTGTTGATGCAGCCAAAAAAGCAAAAGCACTTTATTTGGTGTAAGTATACAACTGTACACGCTGTAGCATATTTTTGATATCTACATGTTAAATGTATGATTTCTTTTATCCCTTTCTGTTAAAATTGTTCTATATTTATTGTGAATCTTGTAAATTAAACTAATTAAAAAAAAAAAGTAAAAAAAATTAAAAAGCACTTTATTTGGCCTTCCGGAAGTAGATGCAATGAGGAATCATTGGTTAAGATTTATTTACAACAGAACAGCACAACCCAGATGTTCGAATTTGTGCAACGCATTTTATGGACGACAGTTTTTTTAACCTAGAAGAGTACAAGGCTGGCTGTGCACAAAGGGTATTTCTAAAAAAAAAAAAAACTGCATCATCACTGTGTCTGTCACGCGACTCCGTTGCTCTTTCGGGCTTGAACTGATGGTAAAACTAACTACATTATTAGTGATTATGGTAAGGGCGTTACATTTCCGACGCGTGCTTGTGGTGTTCGGCCAATCACAATGCACTGGGTCAGCTGGCCAATCAGAGCAGACTGCGCTTGTCAAAGGAGGGGGCTTTGTTGAAACCAACGTGTTTGAGAGAGGCGGGGCATAGAGGACCTACAATAATGTACAGTATTTGAAAAATAATGTGTTTTTTGAACATTAAAGCATGTCAACATATTCTGTTACACCAAATACACAAAATAATTATAAAAAATAGCATCATATGACCCCTTTAATACATATTTATTTTTTTAAAACTGGTGGTAATCAAGTAAATGCATAAAACTAACTTTTAATGAATCTTTTGAAATATAGTCATTAATATAGTCATAAAATTATTTTAATTTTTCTTGACAAAGTGGTGCACAACAGAGTTTACTGTTACTGTTTAAATTGAAACATGAACAAAAAATTGTGATAGTGATATTCCTTTTAAAATAATGTCTTTAAAAAGGGTATTATTATTATTATTATTATAGTTATTACTTTAAGTACATTCTATAGAAGACTTTTTTGTGGTTTAATATTCACAGACACTAGTCCACATTGTGATTTAGTTTACTTACGGTAAATTGTTCTTTTGATTTATTCATCCAAATTTTGCCAAATTCGGTGACATTCCATGTTATACAGTAAATTCCATTTTTATGACCGAATTCAGTGATTCCATCAGCGTTTTACAAAACGCACCACAAAAATCAATGAAAAGTGCTTGTGTTTTTCGGTTTTATGCTTATGTACATTTTCGTTTTTTTGCATTTTAACATAAAATACATAGAGGAATGTACAAAATGTAATTAATAACAAATTCACATAGTGTAACTGGTTTAATTACGAAAACAATCAAATATAGCTAATGAAACAAAATATGCTTATTTTATCAAGAACTATCAGTATAATATTTATTAACTATAATATTGAATGGTCTTATTGCTTTTACAATTATACACAAAATACATATAGAGGAATGTACAAAATATAGGCTAATTAATAACAATGCTCATTTGATCAATAACTATCAATATAATATTTATTAACAATAAAACTGAATGCTTTTTTGCTTTAACATTTATACAAAACACTACACTTATTTTTATTATCTAGTATTTGACGTTGTTCAGAATTGATAAGTAGGCTAAATATATATAGATAAATAAACACATACCCAACTCTGTCAAAATGAAGCATTTCATTGCTCACAGAAATGTCATCCATCCTCTCACTGTTACTGTGGTTATTTTTTTTAACCTTTATTAACTGCACCACAAAAATCAAAGGACCACACAAATTCAGCAGACTATCATATGTGTGGCACAGTCTAATTAGAAAGCCTGATAAATGACTTGGGTGTTTATAAATGATCTAATCCTAGAAAGGTTACACTTGTCATACTGTTATTCTCAGCCCTTTGATCATTGTGTTAGAAAAGAATAATTTGTCCTTCTTTGGATGAAGAGCACAGACAAATCCCTGTGTTTTTGTCTCTGATGTGAAAGTTTTGGAGAATATATTCCTATCGGCAAGTTACCAAAAACATTGAGAGCGCAGGAATTTCAACTCCCTTTTTCCCCCAACAGACTTCTAATAAAACAGACCTCCCAATTCTACTTCCAATCTGTATTTCAATGGTATATTCTACACCCATCCTCTTCGGTAAACATCAGTATATGAAAATCATTTCTGCATCACAACGTTAAGTCTTTTTTTATGACGACAAAAACATTTTACAGAATTAGAGGTGCTTTGTTATACACTGGCCTTTATTCCTTGGAAGGCTACTGTTGACAAACCAATATGAAGCATGGCATGTCAAGGCTGTATTGATGTTATAACAACCTTTCATAATCCTCAATGTCTGCTGTAATAAACTGGTAAGTGCAACAAAGTCACTTATGCAACAAGTGCAATTGCAGAAATACTTCAATAAGTCAGCAGAAGAGAAGTAGAAACCTGAAAAGGCTAAAAAGATCCTCCTCTAAACCTGTGCAGGGGACACTGATCTCCACGGTAAAATCTCAAAAGTGAGGTCAATCACACCAGCAATGGATTCAGGTGTCGACATGAAATTGGGAGACTAATGATATCTTCATACAGCTGATGTGACAAACGCATTGGAAGAGAACAATAACAGAATATTGAGGCTATAAAAATTTAACTGGTTTAAATACGAAATTATAGGTAAGATTCCATTTTGTTAACATGAACTAACAATGAAAAATATTTCTAAAGCATTTATTAATCTTGCTAACAATTAAAGAAAGTGAGCTAACATTAACAAAGAACAGTTAATAAACATTAACAAAGATTTAAAAATACTGTAACAAGTTTATCGCTCATTGTTAGTTAATGCATTAACAAAAGGCCCTCATTGCAAAGTGTTACCAAATTATACAGAAACATTAGTCTAAATAAAATATGAAACTATTCATTAGAATTCTCTGCCACGACAAAGGCAACATATAAGGCTGCTATAATGCTGTATTTTATTCACATGGAATGTAAAGCAGCATCAGAGCCTCCTTTTATAATGGAGATGCTGATTTTATGCAATGTTGTGTATTTTGGAGCAGCAGTTTAGTCAGCTGCTTAAAGATGCCTTTAAGAAAGTGTAGTTTATGTTCATGGTAAATATAGTTTTCATCATGGCGAAGAAAAAACACATGATGTTGCAAATCTAAATCAGCATCAAATACACCTGCATAAGCTCGTCAATCACAACAGCGCTCGTGCCTGCTGACGTACATTCACAATCCCCTCAAAAATATCAAACTCTCTCTGAAGACAAGAGACGTGTCTCTCTAAAACACCGGGCCGAGGGCGGACAACACACGGTCTGTTTTGGTTTCTGAGAGCAGAAGGCGACGGCAGCGCAGGCCTCATATCGCTGCACAAGTCCATCCTGCAAACTCACCCATCTTTCCTCTTTGCTTTGTACACATGGCCATAAGTCCCCCGTCCAACTTTACATCCCTCGTACTCAAAGAGATCCTCGACTCGTTCTCTCTCCCCGGTGAGCTTCACTTTGAAATCATAGTCCATTTTCACCGTTATTCTGGGGATCCGGGCTGTGGCTTCCCTTTAAAGCGTCGCTGGGGAGGCAACTTACTTCAAGCCCCGTTTAGACAATTAGTTGCCTTCCCTCGCGTCGCTTTTCAGCTCAACTAAAGAGTCCACATTTACCGCGAACAATTACGGGCAGCTGAGACGGCGTATGAAGCACGTGTGCTTTTGATCTGACAAAAAGTGCAGAGTGTTATTGGACTATCGGTCGCTTTCTTTGATATTTCTGTGCAACTGCGCCGCTCAACCGGTATCTCACCCGGGAGAGTTGAGCGTCCACGTACGGTAATGTCGCAAAACGTCGTGAATGGCACTTGCAACCACACAAGACGGCGAGGAATGGGCTTTGTGGCGCACCACGTGGATTTTAACTCTTTACTGAAAAGTGCTTGTGTTTTTCGGTTTTATGCTTATGTACATTTTCGTTTTTTTGCATTTTAACATAAAATACATAGAGGAATGTACAAAATGTAATTAATAACAAATTCACATAGTGTAACTGGTTTAATTACGAAAACAATCAAATATAGCTAATGAAACAAAATATGCTTATTTTATCAAGAACTATCAGTATAATATTTATTAACTATAATATTGAATGGTCTTATTGCTTTTACAATTATACACAAAATACATATAGAGGAATGTACAAAATATAGGCTAATTAATAACAATGCTCATTTGATCAATAACTATCAATATAATATTTATTAACAATAAACTGAATGCTTTTTTGCTTTAACATTTATACAAAACACTACACTTATTTTTATTATATAGTATTTGACGTTATTCAGAATTGATAAGTAGGCTAAATATATATAGATAAATAAACACATACCCAACTCTATCAAAATGAAGCATTTCATTGCTCACAGAAATGTCATCCATCCTCTCACTGTTACTGTGGTTATTTTTTTAACCTTTATTAACCCTCTTCAAATAACAAAGACGCATTATCACTGTTAAACACAACACACACCCGCATACATATATAATTCTTTCAAATAATAAATATTGAAATGTATAAAAGCAGATTAACCTTAATAACAAGGTTTAAGTATAGAATAATTAAAGTTAACAGGGGGTTAATCGATACATATTGCGCTGATTAAAGCTTAGAGAATTTTAGAGAGATAATTTTTCATATATTCTCAGGGGCGTTTTCGCCAAGGAGGCAAAATATTGGATGAGAAAAAAATTAATAGTACAAAAATAAAACAACGACAATATTACAAATATTACATTAAAAAGTGTATAAATCACTCGTTTTTCTAAAGAAACATTGTCCAACAGCGACACCAGCAGGTAAAGTAACAGCCCATTGAGTTTTAGCAAACCCCCTAAAAGAGACAAGATAGTCTTTGCATGACCTGACACATTACTCATATCCAAAATGAGGCGATGTGAACATTATGGAGCGCTAAACACCAAAGTCCCTATCATGGATATTGTTAGTCTTTGTAAATGCTCTCATGCAGTGTATGTTTCATTTATACTGGAAGCCAGAGGGCGCTCTCCCGAAGAAAGTACAAAACAGCCTCATACAAGTAATAACTTTTTAAAAATGATTATTCTTATGATTTTTTTATTGCAGGAAAACACAAATACAATAAGGCAGTACAAAATCTTAAGAAGATCCAAAAGAACAGAGCACAACACTAAATGGGAATCAAATAAGAAAAAAAAGTACACAGGTTATTTAAACTTCTTCAATAAGCTGTAGTCTTCGTCCAGTTTTGCATTTTAACATCCTTAAAGATTTACAATACATCCAAAATTCCTTTTGAAAAACAGAAAACAATGGCTATTTTTAAAATCACTTACATTTATGAATATAACATTTCCCCAAAATGAAAACATTATTCAGTAAATAATGAAGAAAAGTAATAACTTATGACCTGCCTGGAAAGCCCTGGACAAAGGCATCCGGCTGTAGCTAAGCAGAATAAAAAGCAGAAACGTTTTGACTGATGAAACGTGAAGACAATAATAACACGATTGCGACGATACATGGTTTATATTTTTCCAAGTCATATACATTTCCAAATAAAGTATATGGATGATGCAATGTTAATTGACATATAATTTATTACAGTAGCCTTTAGAAACTATAAAATATATTTTCTGATTTATTCTGTGATAAAAATGGCAAAAAAAAGTTTTTGTAGTATATAAATCAATCATAAAATATTCATTAGGAAAATGTAGGAAATATAAATACAAATGATTGGTTATTGAGTAAGAGTATACAAGTAAGCGATAAGAAAATAATAATAATAATAGAATAAAAAAACAACTACTGAAATCACCTGTGTGGGAGTTTTTAGTGAGTAATCAGCTTGGTGAACTTTAAAGTAAATCTCAGTGTCTGTGACAATATTTTCCTAGCTTTGATGACTGATTATCCGAAAAATTCAAAACAGTTAAAAGATAACTATTAAAAAGAATAGCTGAACATAAGTTCACAAATAAAATATTGTATAAATTGTTACTGCCTTGAGTTATTATTTTGGAATAAATGTAAAATGGCTTTAGTATACTTGACTTTAACAAATATAATATTGATTATGAATTGATTATAGAATAGAATACAATATTGATTATAGCATATTGAATGTAAAAATATAAAATGGAATTGTTTTTTCCTTCTGATAGTGTAAGTAATTATTTAACCAAGAAGATGTGACTGGGACATGAATTTACATTTGATAAAAAAAAAAAAAAACCTTTGAGGACTTTGCCTCCTCATTTCAGAACACTACCGCACACCACTGAAATATATATATATATATATATATGTGTGTGTGTGTGTGTGTGTGTGTAATAAGTGCATTATAGTGTTGTTATTGATGTATTACTGTGGGAACTGGTTTTGCGCACATGGTAGTTGTCCGGACAGTTGTCTGTGTAGCTCCGTTGGTCCCATCTTGGCTACATTGTAATCAGAGCGGAGAGGAAAGAGAACTCGTCCATATTACAGCTGCTGTTTCAGGTACTTACATATCTATTATTACCTCCGTTTCTTTATTTTGTTTTCATTTTGGACAGTGTTATTACATTTCGTATTTTCTGTTACATTCTTGTGTCAGTGACATTTTCCCCTCATCTTGTCAAAATAATGATCTAAACCTTTCATTGGCCCACAGTTAGCTTGTCAGCAATCTATCGACACCATCAAAAATGTTGCGCATTTAAAATGACAGCTCGCTCCACCGCATGGTTTGCGTTTGCCCGATGACAGACGATGGTGACAGTTTAATGACCCAATTTCAGTTGTGAATTTCACCCTGTGTAGAGTGCTAGCCTAGGCTTTTTATTGTCTCTGGGATAGGTTGCTAGCTGACATGGAACCCGACTTTTTCTTTGTCATGTCCCTCCTTTAACCAATGCTGAATGGATAATCTGGCTGTCAGTCATCGCTTCTCGGACGCTGATTGGTTGTGAGGCTGACAGCCCAGTTTTGGTGCTTGACTTGTTCTGCGATGCTGTCTGTGGCCTACTGTATTATAACAGAGCAGCAATACTGTTTGAAATGACTGAGATGTTATTCATATGAATTAATTTGACACTATTTTCAACGTCACGTGGCTCTCGGTGTGTTTTGACCTGTGTCAAAGCGGTTTTGCTTCCATACTGGGATTTACGGATTGCCTTTGAGGCGTTCATTTTGTCGTGCTGTCTCTTAATGGTGGCTATGTTTTAGACAGAGAAGTTTATGCTTCAGACTCTCCTTACATATATCCACGATATTTTGAGTACATTTTCTTGCTGTCTCAACTTAGTTGTTAATATGTGGAGCTGGTTTGCATATTATAGACCATGATTTCATACGGGTAAACTGATCATTGGCAGATTCTAGAGTTATATATATATATATATATATATATATATATATATATATATATATTGTATTCATGTTTTTATTGAAGATGAATAGTTGACAGTTGAGATATTTTAGGGAAATGATCATGTCCTATAATGTGATATATTATTTTTCATCAGAATCCTTTTTTTTTTGCTTATTCTGTTATAATTATTGTGCATGCAATTTTAATTGCCTACATGGCATTGTATTCTTAAAAATATATTTACCACCACAGAACCGAAGTTGATTAAAATGGAAGAACTTAAAATATATGGTGACCAGTTACAAGACCACAAAATTTACAGATTCCCTTATAAACTGAAATATTAATGTTGATAAGAAAAGTCCAGAGAAAGAAAAGTTACACACAGTGAAATAGAACAGAGACAAAGCCGTAACTGGGCAGCTTAAGTATCTATTGATACATTTTTGTGATTTTTTTCATCTTGTATTATCTGTGAGCAGCGGTTTCTGTGGTGATGGACCCTCCCGGCGGCCGAGACGAGCGCCATCGTCAAGCAGAGCGGCTTCGGCGGGAGGAGGCATACTATCACTTCATTAATGAACTGAGTGAGGAGGAATACAGACTAATGAGAGACGGCAATCTACTGGGAACACCTGGTGAGAACACACCGAACCCGTCCGTATGCAAAGATGCATGTAGTTTACCCTTACACAGAGAAATATGTAAAGCATATTATAAAATGTAAGGCGTGAGGAAGTACAAATTTCCAAACCTAGTCTTTTACTTAAATGAACAATAGATGGATATTAAATAAGGTGTGTTTGTTTGATTACAGGTGAAGTCACTGCAGAAGAGCTGAGGCAGCGTCTGGATGGTGCAAAGGAGCGAGTGTCATCTCAGCCACGCCCCGAAACCCGCCCACAGAGCAGTGAGGCAGAGGGCAGTAGCGGTAAGGACATAAAGGGATGGTTTTGAATTAAGTTGCTCAGCTATACAAATAATTTTACTTAGAATGATCAGCTGGTTTTGTGTGCAATAAACACCTTGCAGGCAGAGTCACAATGCAATTACAAAACAATTCAGGATGCATCTGCATTTTTTAGCAACAGTGCAGGGGCATAAATCTTTGGGTTTAGGTTGTGATGATATACAGCCTTATGCAGCCATAGTAAAACATGTATGATCTGACCCACTAATTGAAAAAGAATGAAGAAGGCATAAATGTAATGTCAAAATTAACTTAAACTTTGTTGTTGTCAGTCCACGGTTGTGATTCTTGTGAATGTAAACTACCGTGATCTGGTACGATTTGTTTAAATGTTTTTGAAAAAAGGCAATTGAGTGCATCCTAGTTGAATGAAAGTAGTTAGGAACCAAATTAGGTTGTGCAAGTAGAAACAAGCAAAATAAAAGAAAATTATTTAATTACTTACCCTTTTATTCATCAATATTAATAAGAAATTGGTAATATACAATTTTTTCTTTTCCAGGTGCAGTCGAGCCAGG